ATCGAACAAATCTAAATATTGACCACTACTTGAATCTGCTTGAAGAAATAATGGACTAAGTTGAAAAATCAAATTGAAGCGGCCCTTAACATTTTCATCCTTTTTTTGTTCAAGATGGAGTAGTAGAAAGCCAAAAACTTTCATTCCCAAAAATTAATCACTCCTAAAAATATAACCCCTTCAATTCAAATGAAATTAAACTAACAGAAGAATAGGAAACTATTCCATAAAAAAATGAATGGGAGCATTCGTATCGCATCATATATCATACTCAAACATCTATCCAACGAAAGGTGTTATTTTTCATGTAGCTAACCATATATTCGATATAAGATTTCTAAATTATTTCAATCTTTTGAATATTTAATGCTCCGATTATTTATCAATATTGGCTCTGACAATCATAAGCCAATGTTCAACCGCATCTTCAATTTTAGACCCATTTCACCCTTTCAGTTTCTTTTCTCACGAGAGTTGTACCATTTTCACTATGAAATAAACAAATATGAATTAGATAATCTTAAAATCCAAAACGATACATCAAGTCCGAAGACGAACAACTTGCACATAATTGTAAATAATAGTCGATGAGAGATGCGAATTCTTCCTTTACTCGTTATTTTATTACTCAAGTCCCTTCACCATAATGAGAAGTTCTTCACGTAATCACTCAATTTATGTTTTCTAACTTGGATTATCTGATTAACTTGATGAATTCATAGTAAACTTCCGTGTTACATTATTACTAATTTCGTAAATTGCTTAACAAATTACTAGCAGCCATAACTTGTTAGCAAATATCCAACCTTAATCAATACAGATGAGCAGGCGTTCTAAAGAAAATTTCTACATGATGAAAAAGTAAACAAGTGAGAAGTCAATATAGAACACACAATGAAGATGATACGAGCACTGTAAAATTTTCATAAGATATATTCCCACAGAATAAGCTGACCAGAAGTTTTACACCCTCGAGTACAACTATCCCATTTAAATAACATGCTTTCAAGCTAAACTGGACAAACAAGGAAATATACAGTATGTGACAAATATATTATTGCTGCTGGAACAGTAGTTTCGCGCCATACTCGGAAATACATTCTAGAAATTAAATAATCTTAATTTAGCATTATGAGGAAAAATTGTGTTTTTGAAATTATCAACTGATTGATACGTATTATCAAACGACGTTACAAACGACACCATAGACATCCAATTGGAAAATTGGTTTTATGTATAAAAAGAAAGTGTTTGGTTGGTTTCAAATTCATTGAATTGGATCCATGAAATAATGCACAACAAATTAATGAATAAAAAAAGATGTGGCTACTATCACGAACAACGAACGTAACCTTTTAATGGAAAGCTGCTTCTATTTTTGAAATTCATCAATATTGAAATCTCCTTGTTACGGTTTTAGCTCTCTTTTATGAAATTGATCATAACTTTATTAACTGTTCTGTAAAATCATATTCTACATTCCGATACATAGCAATTTAAATATTCCGGTGTGCGGAACTTTTGACATAGTCATTCCCAATTGTTCTAGAAATCGAAGAAATTTGAGATGACTCGCATTAGTACAGCTATTTCATCTTTTTTACTTGTAGAAGAAAAGGATGCTATAAAAAAGTATATATTTCATCGCGTTTTTGACACATGTCTATTCTTTCGTCGTCCCAACTGTAACTGCCCTGCGGTTATCCCTACTATTCGTAACCAGCTCTATTGACTTTATTTTCTTATCTCCCTCTCTAATAGTGACTAGTTGTAGAATCATCCTCTGGAATACCGTAGGATTCAATAATATTAAATTATCTAAAAGAACAATTCGTTCAGGCCAGTCCCAACTGACCTACACTATAGGTTATTGGACTGACACCTGTTAGTAAGGGTGTACTGACACCTGTCGGATATAATCCAACGCCCTTCGTGGTATTAGCCAGGGGAGTATTTGTTTCCTGATAGATGTCAGTCCATCAACCTACAGTGTAGGTGAGTTGAGACTGGCCTGAACGAATTATTTTTTTGGATAATTTGATTTACAGCCAGTCTTCAAATATGCATCCTTACTATATGTGAAGATTTTTTCCTTATACGAGAAATTGGGCGATTCGGATATATGCGATTGGTTAGTACCTCGTTTACGGGCAGATGAAGCGATGACAAATTTGTTGTTTGTCGTTCGCTTCAGCCTTGTTCGAGGGATGATGCTCTGAAAAGAATTCGATTTTTAATTATGGAAAATCATCGACTTCATGTTTATGATGGACACTACCTTGCACTAACGGGAAGCCAACTAGCCCGAAACCGGTCTGCAAGTGTGCCCGTTCCATTAATTGAAAATCGATTCCGGCAGTTGCAGGAATTGCTTCTGTGAAGGATCCTGCATTGACACATATCGGATTCCGAAGCCCTTCATGGTATTAGCCGAGGGAGTAGTTGCATTTCAATAGGTGACAGTCCATTGACTTACAGTGTAGTTGTCGACCCAAAAATGGTCATTGTGAATGTTCATAATAGCATCTCGTGAAAAATTAGCTTTGTCCGTAAATGAAATATTTGATAAAAATTATTATTGTGTGCCATCGTATGAATCAACCACCTGCAAAACATTAACCTTGAGTGGAAATCCCAAAGCAGTAGAGCTTGGACCCCCTGTATGTGATATGGATATAGGAGGTATGTTTTTAGAACTGCCCATACTGTTTTTGGCCTCACTTCTAGCTGCAGTGCGATCTTTCTGATACTATTTGAAGGATCTTCTTCTATCGCATCAAGTATAGCTTCTTCTACTTGAAGCGTTGTTACAGTTTCTGGCCTGCATTTTTATTAAAACTCCCAGATTCACATAATCCTGCACGTAACGTTCTGAATGTTTTAGCTCATGGAATAACTCTGTTAAGATATATATCCTGGTGAATTATCCGTGCTTCTTCCGTATTTCCATTTGCTAATCCATAAATGAAGTGCATTTTAGCCATTTTAGCGTTAGTAAAATTATTTGATGGAATCACTGCTAATTGACAACTCTGACTTTCACTGATATGACAATACTATCCCTTTCAGCTGGTCTCCAAAGTGAAGTGGCTTCAATTTATTTTCTCGAAACCGAAGCTAGATATGAAGAAAACACAAACGACGAAAAAGTTGTATTTTCAGTTGATTACTTTTTTTTCCAATATTGTTGGCTGTGGTATCCACTGGACCTAATAATTTCAATCTAGTTTGGGCTAAATAAGCGTCTTATTACTTCAAATAACTGTAGCAAATTTCAACCAAATCGGTAAAAGGATATTTAAGATATTTTTTAAATTCTGGCTTTTTTTAAACCAGCGCCCTGTATTTCAGAAACGAAGCAGTTCCGGACAGATGTTCATAAGAATTTTTTTCTTAAAACGACCTAACGAATCACCCTCTGAAGTTTCGTAGTGTAGTTAGGAAACACCCTGTATATCGGATCTTTATTCACGGAGTTTGATATCTTATCGTAATATATTTCGAACGAAAAACCTGATATATTCGCAGTTAATGATTTTTTTTATCCAAAAAGTGACTGTCAGTTTGAAATTAATCTTCATCAGTTAGTTCGTGCTGACAGAAATGGTAGGGATCGCCGCTTTCATTAGTACCACATTTGAATTCAGTATATTGTTTTCCAAATCAGTTTTCCAGTCAGTACGAGTAAATGCAAAACTTTCACTCTTTCCATCCTATACTGTCCTCCATCGGGTGAAATGGGTAGGTGTCTTCAAAATACTTTGAATATCTAATCACATGGCGGTATCGTACTGTATCAATATATTTTCAACAGCACAACCAAATCGGTGTTAGAAATTGGTGATATTTTATTCATACAATTTTGTTTTTATTTCATCCCCTCGTATCTCAGAAAGGAAGCAACTCAAATTATTATTATTGAATCTTCACATATAGTAAGAGGGCATACTTGAAGTTCCGAGAGCGTAAGAAAACACCGGTGTCTCGTCAATACCTTGAAAGTGCTTTAGGTGGAATCCAATCACTCTTAGGGCTGCGTTATGTCGATGAATATAGGCTGAGACCGCATATGCTGGTCATGCTGACAGCAAGTGCATTAACGTCTCAGACGCCTCACGACAAATTCTACAGTTCGTTGTCCTCATTGATATTTGCTTCCTCCATGAGACGAATTCAAGTGGAAGTAAAGGTTATTGTTTTGTGTTAGGGTTTTTGAAAATTCACGAACCGTGTTATAAGTTTTGATTATTGATACTTTCTGTATGTTTGTTTATATGGATTAGTGGATGTTTATTTTATTTTTTTGGTTGATAGTAAACCATTGCGGTGTAATCCCTTGGGCGACATAATGATTGGTATTATTGATACACATTCTTTCCTCCGTATAGATATCTTTCATCTTTATAGCTAGGGGTGCGTATTTCACTCATTACGTTTTCAGTGAAATTTTTTATAATTTAATTTCAATACTGAAAATGACTAACACCACCTTACGAACCCTCACAAGTAAAAACTTATGCGATCTGAGGATTGACAAGGTCACAATTTTCATTGTTCGATCAGCACGGATCAGACGTGCTGATCGTGATAATCAAAAATCCCACCTTGCGGTTGATTGAATGCTTAGAACGAAAAACTACTAACTAGGTACCCTCTGATAGAAGTGTTTGTTATAGATTTTCATCAATTATCAATCATTTCTATTACAAATTCAGTCAGATATATTCAAGTTATGTTGAAAAAAAAAAGTATGTTATGAACAGGTCATTTTGTTTTAAATTGGCAATGAATGAGCTAATATGATACGATATGAAAAATGAACGTCAATGGAATGTCACATAACATTAACAACTCCTTATATTTCCAAATTATTACTAAATGTTATGTTTTTCTTGAAACTTGTTTTTCATATCATTTCGTTATCTCATTTACATCTCTATACCATGCTGGAAATACAGGAATGAAAATTTTATGTGACTTACCGAATACACATTACTCACTTCTTTCAGCATTTCTCTAAGCTTATCCACACGGTCCCCATTGGCCCTGGTGGGGAGGTATCGGGCTTCAACTGATGCGTCTAGCAAAAGGACCGCGAAGACAACGAAGAGGGAACTGAAGAACAATGTTTTTGAGAGCATCTTGGTTACTACAAAAAAAAATCATGTCAGAAAATGTTCATATGTTGATTTCAAATTTGACGAATGACTATCCAGAATATCTAAAAACAATAATTTTTTTCATTTCGAGAACTTTCTGTTATTATTGTGACACCAGCCCCCGTTAACTTTTTGATTATTACAAAAGTATCGGTATCAGAGCCATCTCAAACCAATTGGAAACCTATTCCATGAAATTATCATTGAAATAAGAATTGAACAGTTCTGGTATCCCTGAGAATACCGTAATGGATTTATAAGACAATCTATTCCATGAAATTATCATTGAAATAAGAATTGAACAGTTCTGGTATCCCTGAGAATACCGTAATGGATTTATAAGAAAATAATTTTTTTGAAATGCTCAAAAAAATGTAATTTTTTATAATCAATTGATTAATTAATGAAGAAAAGAGAAATGAAACTTTCTATGTTTTTTACCACTTTTATTTGTAACTAACGTTACTGCAGTTTCGTCCTATAAGGACATTTTCAAACTTATATATTTTAGTGTTCCATATAAGTGAAATTTTATATCGGAACTCTTTCATATATTATATTGTGTGGCGTTTCTAAGAATGATTCAATTACATAACGAATATCTGGAATACAAACTGAATGGGGAAAAAGTGATTTTCTTATTATAATTCATTTGCATATGAAAGTAGTTGTTACAAGAAAGCGTTTTCTTCCAGTTTATTCCAGTGAGTAACTTCTATGCATGATTCAAACTTCAAACTTATTTTTTTAAAGATAGTTGTCAATGTTTCATGCTGAATTTCATTAGTTTGGACTTTCATTGTCTAATATAATATAATACGATTTGAAATTCCGAAAAGAACGAATAGAATTAAAAATTATAATAACCTAAAGACGATTGTGAATACTAACAATCAAAACGTTGTGGAGTAAATTGGCTTGAGCCTGAACAAATGAAGCTTCAAAATTTACGAATTGAAAGATTATGGTGATACATTAGTGAATTTATCACCAAAAAAGAAAAACGTATAAAAAATTAAAAAGTTTCATCATTTCAGTGTTTTTATTTCATCTTCTTGAGTTCTTCAGAAAAAAATTCAAGCAGAATTGGCAAATTTTGGTGCTTTTCGATTACCTCCGGAACTAATCAACATTTCCAAAATTTCAAAAACTCATTAGAATGAGTTCTGAAATGGACAAACTTTTTTAAATTTAACCGACTTTGTATCTCTCGTGGTTTTCAATTTTCCACACTGACACTTTGTACCTTAGACACAGAATATATTCTGGCTTTCTACCTTTCAATCATAATATAGATATAATGAGAAAGTAACAAAAATATATGTGAAACCTCTTTTTTGAAATGTGTCGATCACATACAGATGTTTTTTTCAGAGACGCACCAAGAGAAACAGCCATCTGAAATAAATATTTTATTTTGTGAACTTCGCGTTAAACGGAATTAATTTTTTCTCTCCAGTTAATCACCAAACACTTCAACATTTTCCGTGGAGATTGAAACAATCTCAACTTGTTACTGCTTCGCTTCGAAGCAGTTACACCTCTCGAAGCAAAGCAGTAACTCGTCTTGATAATGCCATCTGAGATGATGGCGAAACGTCGACTATCGAATAGTACAGAACGGATGAACACCCGGAAGAACAACACATNAAATAGGAAATCAGAAAGCCGCGAAGGCCTTTATTCAAAACATATTGCTATATTTTGTTGAAAAGTATGTATTTTCAACTACAGACTTTCTAGAATGTAAAATTCTGGATAATTTTTTTACGAACACGGTTATCCTTGCCAATATTATCATTTTTCTGTAAGAATTATTTCCCATACAACCAAAGATAACTTTTTATTTATTGATATTTTTAATTTGGAATTCATTTTGAGAACAATCTCATATCTGAATCAACAACAACTAGTATTCTGTAAAAGAAGTATATTGAATTTAGTTGTTTCCAATCTTCTGAGAGGATAAACAAAATATGAGACATCAATTCATATGAGAATCACTTGTACACCCTGAAGCATCGTACAGCAAACCAATCTAAATTCAAAAGCTGCAATGGAAAAATATACTTACAATTATTTGGAAATTTGTTGTGCTACGAAATGAAGTTAGTTGTGATATAGCGAAAATAAAAATTGTTAGCTTTATATTCTGCTGCAACTGATAAACTAAGAAGACATGAACTGAAAATTTGGTTTTATATCAAAGCAAGAAGTGTGGGCGATGCGCATATTCAAAGGGTTGGGGTAATTTAGGAACTTCCCCTGATGTGTTTACATGTTGAGACAAAGGTTGGGTTGATCATTTTTCCACCAGTGGTGTATACAAATGTATCAGTACATCCCATTGCCGTTTTAGATATCATACCCGATCAAACTCTAATATGTATTGTTTTTCTTCGAACGTCGAAATTACATTTTGTTTTGTAATTGACATTCCTATCCTGAACTCGACTTTGTTTTCTTTCAAATTCAAATCAAAATCACCATGGTTAGGACTCTACATTCAGAGCCGGTGGGGTGGTACTAAAAGTGACAGTGATCGTTACGACGGCAATACTGAGAAAATGCTTCAAATACAAAATTAAATTATATTCCAAGTTGACATTTAATTTACGTCTACGTTACGCGAGCCTTTCTTTCAAAATTAAACAGTAGGTATAGGTACTATTAAATTATTATTTCTTTCGCAGATAAGAGCAGTAGTAAACAGTTTTAAAACAAAAAATATATACAGATTACGTGGTACCTATACAGTGCATTTCTTTAATGTCCCCCCCTTTTATTGTTTAAACGGATCAACTCAAAAAACTGAAATTTGTGATAATGAAATTAATGCATGAATACTTTATTTTGAAGTGAAATTGACACATCTTGTGTGACACATCTTTTTGAAGCCCCTGACAAATGCTTCACAACCCTATGTTGTGTCAATATCTTCAACTACTACCAAATGGCGAAACATTTAAATAATTGCCAAATACATTGACATTTAACTACATAATATATGAGATAATAAGCTGAGGTCACTTCAGAAGATGCTCGAAATGGTTGCCTTTGAACTTTTCGACATATGAATAGCCTATCTGATATTCCACGCCGAACATTTTCGAATACAGTAACGGCAATATCTTTACAAATATTTATTATTCCATGCCGTATATCCAATATTGAAGCAGATGCAGTTTCGTACACCTTTTGCTTCAAATAGCTCCATAAAAAAGTCCACAGGTGTCAAATCTGGTGAGCGGGCTGGTCATTCTGTAGGACCTCGACGGCCAATCCAACGACCGGGAAAAGTAATATCCAAATATTTTCTCACTTGTCTGGAGTAATATGGTGGTGCTCCATATTCCACATTCAAATACAGTTTTCCTGTTAAATTTCGATCAATAAATAGAGGTCCTACAATATGGTTTCCCAATATTCCTACCCAAACGTTAATTTTTTCTGGATATTGGGTATGTGTTTCCCGGAAAACGCGAGGGTTGGTGATTGGTGTCACTCCAATAACGGCAATTTTGTCTGTGAACATTGCCGTTTAAAAAAAATGTACATTCGTCACTAAAACAAATATTGTGCAGATAGGTAGGATGCCTTGCAATGGTTTCCGTCATGACTTTACAGAATTCTGTTCTTCGATCAGGTCATCTTCAGTTAATTGGTGTACCATTTCAATTTTGTATGGATGATACCCATTCCTCTCCAAAAGTATCCACACAGTAGAAGAAGACACCTCACAAACATTCGCAATGGAATGAGTAGACTGTTCAGGATTTACTACCATCACACTTGCTGTTCTTCCGGAATGGACGGATGACCTGGGGGCTTTTTGTTATGTACACTACCGGTAGTTGTGAATTTGGATACAAGTTCTCTCAAATATTTTCTACGGATGTTCCGCCATTTTGTAGGTGAAGATATTGACTTCATATTCTAGAGTTGTGAAGTATTCGTCAGGAGCTTCAAAATGATGGCGCCCAGTCGCCATCTTGTGAGTTTCATCTGTCAATTTCACTTCAAAATAAAGTATTCTTGCAATAATTTCATTATTTCAAATTTCAGTTTTTGAGTTGACCCGTTCAAAAAATAAAAGGAGGGGGCGTTAAAGAAATGCACTGTATATCTGCAAATTAGTCTCAATGAATCAGGCAAGAGTTTTTCAGACCAATTTTTGAAGGGTGTATTATTTACAGAAACTGAATTAAAAGGCATTTTGAGTAATAATACAAATCTAAAACACCTTTATAAATTTATTTTTGAAGAATTCTGAATAGAATTACATCAAAGTTAACAGTCTTACATTTCAAAAGCATTCTACTTCTTTGATTCCAGTAATGGTACTAGATAAATTGGTTGAGGCTTTCGTGGCCGAGATTTTCAGTATCACTATCTTCATTCAGATTTGAAGGCCGTCGTAGTTTAAAACTGCATCCTAACGTTTCGCCAGGACTGGCTTCTTCAGAGGTTTATTCATCTTGATGATTCACCGATGACTGGTGATTTCTGGTTCGTAGGTTGTATTTATGTCGACTCAGGTAGTCCGCCTCTCTTGTTGATGCGTTGCTATTGGCCGAAGTATTATTATCTGTTAATGACGTAACATTGCATTGCGCTGTTACCACTTCAGCATATTTTAGTATGGGATTCCAAATTTGGTTAAGCGTTACCGCTTCCTCTTTTCTGTTGTAGTTTTCCGTATGTTTATGGACTTTTATGGCTTCCCATACAAGCCGACTGTGGTATCCATGATCGGGGGCAAGTAGTTTCACATCTTCAAACAGTATCTTGTGATTTCCTTCACTAAGCGCGTCTTCAGCTACTGCCGATTTGTCTATTTGACCTAATCTACAGTTTTTCCGATATTCATTCAATTTTGTACCCATGGATCTTTTGGTGGTACCAATATAAACTTTTCCGCAGGTGCATGGTATACGATATGCCCCCGCAGCTGAGAGTGGATCTCTTTTGTCTTTCCCAGATCTAAGGCTTTGTTATATTTTCCTGGTGGGCTTGAACACTGTTTTTATTTTATATTTCCTTAAGATTTTTCCAATTCTGTCTGTAACCCTAGGGATGTACGGTAGTCAACATAAATACAACCTACGAACTAGAAATCACCAGTCATCAAGATGAATAAACCTCTGAAGAAGCCAGCCGATTTTCGATTTTGACTTTTCAATAAATGAATAATTAGCTTTCAAAGTTTTGATGTTCATCTGATAGTTTGAAACTGCTACAGTAAAATTACAATATTCTGTTCAAACAACTAAGTAGTTTAACTAGAACTGAGAAAAAATTATACATATTTTGGTGAATTTCTCACCTCTTACTCACTGAATCTTCTTACTTCAACTATAAAATATTTCAGATAGTTTCCTTAAAAAAAACAATATTTGTGTAGGGTAAACATTTTATGCAGCATCATTCCATTTTTTTTTTTTTAATAAGGTAACTAACTAATTTATAGCAATGTGCATGTGGAAAAGTATTTCATTGTGGCTAATTAAAAAAATGAATAAGAATACTGAAAAAATATACACGTTAGTAATTGTAAATATTCAAAAATGTTAAAAACTTTGAGAAAAACTTTCAATTCTTACCTTTTCTGAATAACATTTCACTATATTTTTGAAATAGAAATGATTTATTCTTGAAAAAATGATATAACTCATTCGCAGCTTGACTGGCATTTTCTTCCTGCGATATTCAAATTCAGACTTTAATGTGAATAAAAAAATCCCATTCGTTACACATACAATGGATCATATTATATAAATAACTATTGTTATTATGAACATCAGAAAACATGATAGTTTCCTTAAAAAAACAATATTTGTGTAGGGTAAACATTTTATGCAGCATCATTCCATTTTTTTTCCTTTACAAGAGTTGTATCTAACCTTTCATTTACACAGAGCCAACTTTGTCAGTCTTCAACGACAAAGAATATTTGCTTGAGAAAGGACATTTTTGAGCAACTTTCTATAAGAAAGGCTTTATAAGAGGTGGCAATTATATTCCACCTTTGTCCATTCGCCAAAATTTGTATTATTTTCCTTACAAGGCATGCATTACATTATTCATTTTTTCAACAGACCACATTTTGAACATAATCCACTTCAAGAATGGATTTTCAAGATTACAAAAATAATCAATATTTTATGTGAAGGTAACCCTTGAAACTAGAGGTGTTCAACCCTTCGTCTCGAAACTAATAATTCATAACGTATATTAGACGAGCGTGGGTGGTTGAAAACTTTGTCTTCATTTGTCACTTTATACGAGATCTTAATATTTGCTATAGTACCTTGAAAAAATAATCCAAGTATTATTTTCAGGGCTGCTCAAAGTTCTAAATTTAGTCATTGGTGTGATTATTAATAAAATGGGCAAAAGCAGTATGGAAAAAATAATGTAGAAATATCCAAGATGGAACATCCTGTATACAATCCATCAAACGAATTGGAACAACCACTATTTGATATCATTTTTTGAAATCAATTCACGATTCTTTTTCACAAAATGAAGAAATTTGTTATTCTACACTGGGTGATCAAAATCTCATTGTTACTTTTTATTTTTGAACTTTCTTGAATTCAACGACAACAACAGATACAAGTGGACGGTTTATTGTATACAGCATGATCCTAGGCAAATGCTAGTTAGGAGTAATCCGGAAAGTGGAGTGAGTCTCGAAACTTAGGATACTAGTTGGTAATAATTTCCATTTTCAGGTGGGGTACCCTAGTTTCTATTGTTTTTTGCAATTTTTATGGAATACCGTAGCACTACGTGAGTCTAATTTTTGTTGTGTGAATGTTTTGTCAAAATAAATCATTCGCATTGAAAGAACTGATTGAGGATGTACTCATTTTTTTGTAACATAAAACCAAAAATCTGAAGAATCCATAAATTTAAGGTGGAAAATCGAAGAACTCCACCCTACGATATGAATTGTCGGTATAAAAATTTTCGGCAAAAGAAAATGAAACTACAATGAAACAAAATACAATTGGAAATTGAACAATTAACAAGAAATGAAAATTAAAAATTTGAAAATTTCAAGCCATGTTACTTCACGACGTTTCGATTGTTAGTATCCACAATTGTCTTCGAGTGATGACTGGACATATTCCTCCGAGAGATCCGACACCTTCATAATATGCATAACCTGC